GGAGAGTTATATGGGAAGGAAGATGTAAGAACTGCTGTAAAGGAGTCCTGGAAAACAGAGGATGAACATGAATATAAATGGAATTAGGGCTGCAATGTCAGAGAATACTTACTGGAAGAGATGACATAAGCTGAATTTTAAAGAGAGTGATATATTGGAGAAAATCATGGGAAGGGTATTCCAGTTACAAGGAACACAAGTTCTCACACATTATCCCCTACCACCATTGCCTTCAGGAACTAGGAATTCTAGATACAACGTATCAGGAGGTTATCAAAAAAATAGATCTTAGGCCCTCCCTGGTGGCTCAGCAGGTTAAAGCACTGCACTGGGAAGCTAAAGCCACTTCCACATGAGTTCAATCCCCGCCTGCCCCGGAGGTGACCACATGGTGTGGCAGACCTTTCCTGACCCGCCCGCTGCTCCCCTCAGCAGTGTACTTTGTCTATCTGCCTGTTCTGCTCCCTATTCTGTCTCTGTTGAAGCCTCTTGCCGCCCCTGAGCCTCTGGCCTATACCCTAGTTCTGTATGTGCAAATAAATCCTAAAAAAAAAAAATAGATCTTAACATACAGATGAGCGACAAGCTCATAAAAAATGCTCATCATCACTTAACATCAGTGAATTGCAATTTTGACTTGCAATTCATAAACCACAGTGAGATACCACCTCACACTTGTGAGAAAGGCCTATATCAAAAAGACCAGAAACAACAAGTGTTGGTGAGGATAGGCAAAAAAGGAACCTCACATGCTGTTGGTGAACATGTAGACTGATCCAGTCCCCTATGGACAGCAATAGAGATTTCTCAAAATCTTTTTAAATCAAAAGATCCATTAAAAATAGATCTACGTGGGCCCTCCCTGGTGGTGCAGTGGGGTAAAGCACTGTATTATGAAGCTCTGCAAAGCCACTGCAGCATGAGTTCAATTCTCAGTCAGGGAGCTGACCCACATGGCATGGCAGACCTCTACTGACCCACCCGCTGCTCCCCTCAGCAGTGTACTTTGTCAATCTGCCTGTTCTGCTCCCCACTCTGTCTCTGTGGGGATTTACTCTGTGAATCTTCTCTCCACCCCTGTACCTCTGGCCTGTACCCCAGTTCTGTAAGCATAAATAAATAAACATTTAAAAAAATAGATCTACCATTCAATCCAGGAATTCCACTCTTAGGTTTCTACCCAAAGAATGTAAAAGCTCTAATTCAAAGGAACATATGTACTTCTGTGTTCTTTGCAGCACTATTTAAAATATCCAAGCTATGGAAACAGCATACATGGTCAAGAGCAAATGAGTAGATCATGCAGATTTAGTATACACAATGGGATCTACTCAGCTATAAAAAGATAAACTTTCCATTTGTGACAATGTGGAAGGAACTGGTGGGGATGATGCTAAATAAAATAAGTCAGAAGAAGAAAGACAAATACTAGTTGTCATCATTTAGATATGGAATATTTAGAAACAAAACAAAGGGTCCAATAAAGCAAAGCCATTAACATACCCTCAAAATATGACCATATATATGGGTGTACTGGACGGATTAGAGGCAGAGAAAGAACAAAGTGGGGGGGGAGGGCAACAATGGATGTGGTAGAGGACTGATATAGTGGTAGGTGTGATAGATTAAAACACTGGGAGGGAGTGATCTTATATCTCTAAATAATATACAGTGTTATAAACCAATATTGCCTCAATGAAAACATTAAAATCAAATCTTAAACAGAAAGCAGTTGATTCAGTTCAGAATAGTCAGCCTACACAGGGAGAAGAATACAGAGTCAAGTGGGAGGGTGGCTTTAAGGTCAGAGATATAGATGGCAGCATTACTTAAAATCATTAATACAATGGCCAGTGGTAAGGGAAATACATAAGAAAATGATGGTCCAGCTACTGAAAATCTGGAAGTTGTGCCATACTTATAAAAATGACTTGTAGAAACAAAGGCCAAACATGATAAAAAATATATATATATTCAGAAGAAAACCCCTAAATTGCTAATACTATGGATTTTATTCTTTACTGTCAATGTCTTACATAACATTCTTACATTACTTTCATAAAGATTTTTTTAATATAAAGAGAACTAAGTCATGGATGTATATTCTGATTAAGGCAGAAGAAAAATTATCCTAAGTCAATAATGATATTATACTTGTGTTTGTTTCTGGGTTTCAGATTTTGTTGTCTCCCTAGCTGTATTTCAGTTAGTGTGACACATTCATTTTGCTTGCAAAGTCTATCCTCAGTCTTTCCTTGCCCACAACCCCTCCTCCCGCCCTAGATCTGTGGGATGTATTGTGATGTCTGCCTGCTAATTTTGCTGGGACTGGGACTGGTGTATGGTTGGTGATTCATGTTTGTTCCTAAGTCATACATCTGTGTTGGTTGCTTTTAAACAGTGCCCCAGGGGATATGAAAGGCTATTTGTCAGCTGCTTTGCACCCTGAGAATTCTTCCCTAGCTTTTTCTGAATTCCAGCAAGTTCTTCTGTGAGTTTAGACAAGGTAAAGAAGAAAGAGAACAAAGCCAGGGAGAGCAGCATGGAGACACAGTTGTTGTTTGGGTCTTGTCCCTGTTTTCCTTGCAGGACCAGACTTCCCGGATACTAACACTGGAGATAGAATGCCTTGCAACATCACTTTAGGGTGATGACCGTAGACTTGCTTTTTGCCCAGTAGGAATGCCTTTAGCAGAAACAGAATGAACTCTGGTGGGGATCCTTAATGGACAAAGTGCTAGGAGTTTGGTGACACAATCAGTTGGCACCTCTTTTAAGATTTTAGCACAGATACCCACAGCAGTGATACTCATGACATTTAATAACTGCTACCAGACAGACATTGACCCATTAAATGGGTCAGGCCATAGTGCTGAAGTTAGAGTCTCCCTGCTGTTCCTGACAGCAAGCCCTTTACTTACTGGTCACTGTGAAGTTTAACAGATTTGGGGGCACCTAAGGCAGTGAGTAGCTGGGTGCCAACTATTACAAAATATTTCTGTGTTTTTGAAATTTCAAAAAGTTCATGTCCACTCTTAGGCTTTGTGTATTCCCATCTTCACCTTTTAAGAATCTATAACCTCTTTGTCCTTAAGAAGAATTCAGAGCCAGCATCAGGATCTACTGGTTCTACAGGATCTGGGTGTACAAAGGAGCCCTTATCCACAAAAGAGTTCTTTATTTTGCTCAACCAGTAGAGAACTCACCCAAGGAAAGCTCACGAGTCAGCTTTCATTATATTTTCACTTGCCATGACATATTTGGCTTACAACATAGTTCTACCTCTGGGCAAGCTGGCAAACAGGCTGGTATGTGTGCGTAATTGCCCACCTACCTGCTTGCCTGTAGTCTTTGAAAGGCAGCCCCATCCCAGACCATTAGCCTGCTGTGAAAATAGATCTGCAGTACCTTAGAAGTACAAATACATATTGGATTGTTATGGCTCTTCCTTGTGCTTTTAACCAGAAATTCTCACTTGATGCTTCTTGTCAGACACCTGGAGTTTGTGGGTTGGCTAAAAGCAACTTTTCAGAATGTTCTCCAGGGAAGCATCATGACCCTGCCTGCATTCTGTGCTGTCTTCTTTGCCTGTTTTAATGAAACATATAGTTTCAGGGTAATTTGCTGCCTTCTTTGTTTCATTCAAGATAACAGCCAAAGTTGCTCATAATCTGACCAACCCTTTATATAACAACCCTTTATGTATAAATTCAGAGATGGGGGAAATTACATGTAGTTACTCAGTAAGCCAATCTAGAATTTGGCAATTAGAGAAGTGAGTGGTTGTAGAGAAATGACTAGGAAGACTTGGGCCTTGCGATTCTCACTCTGCTAGTTGCTGACCTGTGACTTTAAGCAAGATATCTCCCTCAGCATCATCTTCCTCACTTGCAGAGTAGGATCATGCTATATATGTCCTTTAGAGGATTGTCATGAGATGTAAATGTAATAATCATTAGGAAAGCAAGTTTTAAACTAAAGAAAAATAATCAAAATGCACTCCAAGAACCACAAATGTAGAGGTAAATTTTGTCAGGTGGGTAAGTTTAAAGGAAGGCTACTACTATCCCAGCCTCAGACCTTCTCTAGTACCTCTCTGTAACACTTTTGCTGAGAATATGAGTAGTTTAGAGACATGATAGACAGGAAGGTTACTGTTAACCTGAGGGTAAGGAAGTTTGTGCAGAAAAAATGTACATGGGATGATAGAAAAGGACAGAGGACATAAGGTAACATGAGGGTGGAGAGAGAAAAGAGACAGTGTCTACTCTGTCACCTGTGTGCTCATTGATCAAAGCTTATTCACATAATTCTGGGCTCCAAATGGGAGTATGTAAGAGATTGACTGAAATTTTGATGGCATTCCTCTGTTTGAGCCACTGGGAATATCCTCTTCCAGAGATGGAATTCTGTACCCCTGAAGGGTAATTTGGCATTATCAGATTAACTAAATCATATTCTGCAGTTAAACTTGTATATGAATATTAAATCTTAGCCTGAGTCTCCCATATAATCAGCCAGTGGATGTTTTCAGGAAAGGACTTTATTCCCAAAACATTAAAAAATATGCATATTGTATCTTTAATGAGACTGACATTTTATTTATGACAGGAAGAAGTCTTCTAGCTAGGAACTCATTCAAGTGATAGCTCAGTATCTAACACCTAGAGTGATACTAGATGTTCTTTCTGGAGTAGCTATTATCACCAAATTATTTTATGGTTGGTTCTTATTTTAAATTATCAAAGTGCTCATGCTAGGGGATTTTGCTCCCAGGTTCAAGTCCAGCTCCCCTGTTTGCTAATGGTGAACTCAGGCAAATTCCTGGGCTTCTGTGGGGCTATGTCCTTGATACAGAATAGAATGGTCACAACTTAGATGAAAACTTCCATAAAATATGAGGTTTTATGTAATGTTCCCACCATGTGTTAGTTCTCACTGTATGTTGGATGCTCTTTTCTGCCTCTCATATGACCAGAGTTTTCTGTTTTCTTTTTAAGCTTTGATGTGGAAAATGGCCCTTCCCCAAGTCGGAGCCCATTGGACCCCCAAGCAGGCTCTTCCTCTGGGCTGGTGCTTCATGCCACCTTTCCTGGGCACAGTCAGCGTCGAGAGTCCTTTCTCTACAGATCAGACAGCGATTATGACTTGTCACCAAAGGCAATGTCGAGAAACTCTTCACTCCCAAGTGAACAGTAAGTCTGACTCCAAGTTTCAGCGATACCTCATCTTTAACCCTGTTTACAGTAACAGTGACAACTTTTCCCCCCGAAGTCATGGAACAGAAGGAGAAGGAAATGAGAATGAGCAAAGGTGACAATGATGGTCAACCTTAATGAGACTGATACTCTGTAGTATGAGGACCATGTAGCTATGGTCTCACTGAACTGCTGAATTGTTTTAGGATAAAAACTTTGACACTCTTTGCAAACCACACTTGAATTTTCCACAGCAGGTACATTTTACATGAAGCTACATTTAAGGAAAATGATGGTTGACTACTATATCTTTTCTTGGTATACTTTGCCTGGTAACATTTAATAAGCTGTCATCCAGCCACATGTCCATGTTCTTTCTCTGCACCCTTAACACAATGACCATTTGTTGCCTGCCTCCTTGGTGTGACATAAGCACACTCTCCTGCTTATTGAACACAACTGATGTTTCTAGTTTGCTGCTATTAATTATAGATCTCTTAATTTTTTTAAAGAACAATAACTGGGTTGTGTTACTTGTTTATTAAATTTCTGGAACTAAATAAAATTGGATGCTGGAATCCATTCCTTAAAAGGTTTCTGGGCACACATACAATTGTTTTTAACATCATATGTTATAAAAATACTAGTAGCTCCCTAGAGACTCCAGTCTGGAAAATTCCACTAGTCTCTCTTCTATTACTGGAAAAGAAACTAAAGAGGGTCGCTCTCTTGTGAAAGGGAAATTTTAAATCCATGCAAGAAAATAATCCCCTGGGGATTTTTTCCAGCAGATTTTAATAGAAGCATCTCTACCCTAAAATTGGCAGTAATTGGGTTGGACAAAATTAATTTATTTACTCCCTGCACAAAGGAGTCACCATATGACTTATAATGTGCTAGGCTTCAGAGATCAGAGATAAAAGTGAAAAGTCATAGACCAGTCAAAAGTAGATTTCATTCTCAAAAAGGTGGCATACTCTCAGAGAGGTTACAATTAAATATAAAAGTTAAGAGGAATGCACATATAACTTTACTAGGGAGTGGAGTAAACATTTCATGAGCTTTTATCATGGGCAAGTATATTTACATTCATTATCTCTCTTAATCTTCACAGCATTCCTATCAGGTAGCATTTTTATCTCTACTCTATAAATGTTGAAACCAAGACTGAGACTGAGAAACTGCCCCTAACCCAGGACTAGATACCATACTACATCCCATGATGCAGCTGAGCCTATCCTTTTGGATTCGTCCCAGCTATGATCTTCAGACTGCAAAGTAGAATCTCTTTGACCCTATAGAAAACAGATGACTTCAGAAAAGAGGTACCTGAGACTGAAAGACAAGTGTCCACTTAACTGTTAGCTATACAGAATCAGGAGATTCTAGCTAAGATTTGGATGGAGGACTTTGACAATCAATGCATAAGGATTTTCTCTTTGACCAATAGAAACACCTTTCTGGACTTCTAGGGAAAGAGAAAAGTAAATGTGAGCTGACTGTAACTAGAACTTAATTCACAAACAAGTAAGTGATTAGTTTTGGAAGATAGCTAACTATTCTCCAGACGAATGCCAAGATGCATAATGGGTTCCTGTGTCACTTAGAATCGTGCCAGTAGATTCCAGCCAAATTTCAGATTTCAGATTTAACTGGTGATTCCTTACTTAAGATAAAAGGTTATAAGAATTTTGAACCTGGAAAGACCTTAAAGTTAACAGTCCATCTGCCCCTCCCTGGTGGCACAGCGGGTTAAAGCACAGTACTGAGAAGCTAAAGCCACTTCTGCATGAGTTCGATCCCCGCCTGCCCCAGAGGTGACCACATGGTGTGGCAGACCTCTCCTGGCCTGCCCGCTGCTCCCCTCAGCAGTGTACTTCGTCGATCTGCCTGTTCTGCTCCCCACTGTGTCTCTGGTGAAGCCTCTCACTGCCCCTGAGCCTCTGGCCTGTACCCCAGTTCTGTATGCACAAATAAATAAATCTTTAAAAAAAAAAGTCCATCTTACTCTGCTATTGAAACAGAGACTTGGTTTTGAATGATTGTATCCCAAATTCTCTGTTACTCATGGTTTTCCCTCTTTTCAGTGTTACAACCAGTAAAAATTTCCCCCTAACTTTATGGTCTACATAGTGTTGCCAGCTTTAAATGTAGACAAGTAAAGATTGTAAATGTAAGTTGCATAGTGTTATTTTTAGGGTTTTTTTTTAATACTGTAAAAAGTGCAGAAAGGGCAAATTTTCATAATAAAGAACAGTCTTTACCAAGAAAACAGTTTGGCAACATAACAACACCCTATCAAAAAGATAATGATAACGAGACATATTAAACTTTTGAGTGAATAATAATAACACACTGTTTTGTTTTGCAAATATTTCAACATTGCAGTAAAACTTTTATATATCCATCAGCTTGGAAATTTATATTTCTCAACACAACAAGAAGTGGGATTGAATAATATCCAGATTCTTCTGTTTTTTCATTTTATCAGGATCTTTTTAGAAAATCCAGCTTCATACAGGCATCCTGACCTAAATTAATGCTCTCTCAAAGCTGTTTCCTGAATTGTTACTCTTCAGGCTGGATTGAAATAGTGGAACAGAAGTCCCTGAATCTCTCACTGCTTTTCTTGCCTTCTATTCATGGAACAAAGAAAAAGAAGGACAGAGATAGTCTGAAGTCTTGATATGAAGGCCCTCAGGTGGGACTTAGAGAATATTCTGTGCTTGGGAGCCCACATGTCCAGCAGAACAGTTTGTCAATTAATCGCATTAATTTCTTCAAATAGAGAAGCTAGAGGAAGGGCTGGACAGGGAATTTGTGAGATCTGGACCATTAGGGCCCTTAAACTTTTGAGTGAATAATAATAATTAGCTGCATTAAATTCTAAGTTAGAGAAATTAGCTGAATTAAATTCTAGCAGTAAAGGACAACACCTTTTTTTTTTTTTTAATCTCTCACCGGAATTCCAAAAAGTAGGAGGAAATACAACCAAGGAGGAAGAATTAAATGATGTTAAAAGTAAAAATGGGCCCTCCCTGGTGGCGCAGCGGGTTAAAGCACAACACTGAGAATCTAAGGCCGCTTCTGCATGAGTTCGATTCCCGCCTGCCCCGGAGGTGACCACATGGCGTGGCAGACCTCTCCTGACCCGCCCGCTGCTCCCCTCAGCAGTGTACTTCCTCGATCTGCCTGTTCTGCTCTCCACTCTGTCTCTGGTGAAGCCTCTCACCGCCCCTGAGCCTCTGGTCTGTACCCCAGTTCTGTATGCACAAATAAATAAATCTTAAAAAAAAAAAAAAAGTAAAACTAAATTTCATGTGAATTAAAGTTGCCTTTAATTTAGCCACAAAAGAGAGCTTGAAATAAGACTTTCTAGTAAAGTAAAACAAGATCACCATTGGGTCCCAACATTTCAGATGTTTTCCTAGATGTGGCAATAATTTGTTGGTTCCTGCTCAGTTCCTGTGCTTTGGTCATCTCTAACGTAATACCTTAGTCCAGAGAAGTAGAGATTTCCCCATGGGAACATAAAGTACTAGAAACTGGTGAGGTTACTCAGTTTTCATTTTCCACCTGCAGAGCTGCAGGGGAGGAGGATCCATGGTTCCTTTGTAGATAAAGAGATTTTTCAGGCCATCACTTGTGTGAGTTTTAAGTGGTCTTCAGAGGGAGTGGTCAAGGGAAATAAGGCTTAAGAAGTAAGAGGAAAAGCTTAATAACTCCCCCACTGTATATTGATGGACTATCAAAAAAAGTACAATATGAAGTCTACGACTTTAGGTAGCCTTACCAACACCACATTTATTATTAGCATGACTTTAAGACATTGACTCTTTTTATAGTTTCTAAATTATCTGTAAAGAAAAGAGCACATTGATTGATCATTTCTGATGTGTTATGTGCCATTTAAAGTCTTATATACATATAATTCATTTAATTCCCATGATCCTAATATGTTTGATTCTACATTTGTCTTTAGATGAAGATGCTAGAACAAAGATTAAGTAACTTACCCAATAAATAGAGAAACAAGTCTTAGGGAGTCTAAATGAAAAAAAAAAAACCAACATGGATATTTAATACATAAATAAACTGTAAATGGGGATGAAGAATTAAAATAATAATGTAAACTTTTGCAGTTACTTCCCAGCTACTCTGAAATCCATATTTATACTTTTAACAACAAAAAAAAATTCTAAATTTAGGTACTTTATTAGCAAATAATATATTTCCTATATCTTCAAGTCAATTAAAACAGTGTTGATCTCCTTAGGTAAGGGCAGCTAGAGAAAGGATTACACAGGACTTTGTGAAGCCTGAAAAGGCAGGGCCAGGATTCCACTTTGAGGATGCCACAATTAAGTGGCAGGAGTTAGTTGGGCATACGCATATGCATATGCAGGATGAAGGTACTAACCAACTCTAGTGGTTAGGGAGCATTGTCAAGAACCGCAGTTCAGTAGGACAAAGGCAGAGAGTATAAAGAGATGGGAAAGTGGGGGAAGATGGGGCTAGACACATATGCAGAACCCTCTTTGAGTAGAGCCTATACAAAAGCATTGACCTTCATGCATACAGACCTGGGGAGCTTCTAAAAGCTTTAAACTGGGGGAGGGGGAAAATAATCAGATGAATGTAAAATTAACTCTGATTGCAATATGAAGATTTTTTTGGAAGGTGGCTAAGTCTGTGCCTGAGCACCAAAAGGGAGGCTGTTTTGCTAATCCAACTAGATGGAGGGGCTTTATGGTAGAGCAAATCCAGTGAACAATTAATAAATATTTACAAGTTACTGGTTGATTGTGAAGATAGATGTGAAGTTTTAGACTTGACCAAAAAAGTAGGTGGCCACACCATTCTGTCGCAAACATTCTCTCATCACATGAAATAATGTACATATATGAAAATGCTTTGTAAATGTAAAGTAGAATTTAAGTAATACTTCTCTTAATTACAGTGGGGAAAACACACTCTCCTAAAGAAACTCTTACCAGCTGGGAATGCAATTCTTTAATTGTAATAGGAATGATACCTTGTACTAGTAGGAAAACCGTAACTAAAGTGTGTTATGTGCCAAGCACTACTATGTGAGTTGTATATATATAGCAATTAATTTTCATAACATAATTTTCATGTAAAAATATTGAGGCATAGGGGCCTGGTATCTCATAGCTGGAAGTAGCATCTAAGAAGCAAAACAATGCTATCTGGCCCCAAATTCTGTGCTCTTAACCATAATAGTACATGTCCCTTTATAAAATACACTAAAATCAATGTTACACAAGTAATACAAGTATAATTCCATGTTATTTGTAGGGAGGACAAGAGAGAAAGGTGTGATTGATAAAATCGAGAGGATAGCATTTCTAGAAAACCATTTCAGTATTTAAAGTAGACCTATACTCAATTCTAATACTCTTTAAGTGTTCTTACCCAGTTATTCTCAAAAATTGTAATGTGCTAGTTTTGTCACTAGATGATGCTCTTACAACGATTCTGAATAATCCAGCCTTGTTGGTGAGAAGCATTGCCCTCTCTAGTGGTTTGGAAAACTAAGTACATCAGTTTTATGATCCAATGTTTTTGTTATTTTCTTGTTCTTTTCTTCCTGATTATGTATATGATTTTGAACTTCATAATAACTCCATAAATAATCTGTGTAGTTAAATAGGAGATTTTTTCTTTGTTTAATTTCTTTTCCTGTACTTGCTATGAATTATCTATAGATTATCTGATCAATTCTCTGGCTGCTATTATATGACTTACAGCATTAGAATTTGCAGCTCAGCCCCTTCAAGGAATATGCTGGGAACATGCAAGACCATTTTTTGCTCCCAGACATTCTGTTCTAAACTCCTAGAGTTCCATAATGATAAAGTGATATTGATATGCGCCCTATTAATGTTTATTAATATCCCTTTAATTGCCAGTTTGTGCAGTTTTGCTCCCCAAGTCATGCAACAATACACTACTTTTAGGTACTACATATGTAGGAGATTTGTTTATTGAACTTTTTTGAGGTGTTTAGACTCCAGAAACCCAAGGACCAAAGACGATCTACTTAAGTCCAACTCCATTACTTTATCCCCCAGTAACCCCTATGTGCTATGAACAATATGAACTTCACACAGATTTCTGAACAAATAGCAAGATATATGAAACATATCCTGAGATAGCAAGCTATCTCAAGGAAATAGCTAGGGGAACGGCAGATTTTAAAACAATTCACCACACCGATTTTATCACCACTGCTCCTCTCTTTACTCTTTAGTCTTTCTGTTTCCTCACCATCTCTCTGAAGTTCTTCCTTTGATTCTCTCTCTAGACATATACCATCATCTCATGATGATGTCAGCCCCTGCCATGGCTCACAGCCAAATCTCCTAAATCTGTAGCTGCAATTCCCCTATGATAGTCTCCCCACTTGATTTCTCTGTAAGGATATCAGTGAGTATCATAAAATTCAACATGTGGAAAGGGACAATCTCCTCCCCCACTCCTCCTCACTTTATTAATGACTTCATTATATTCCCAGTCACCCATTTTTAAAATGGAAAACATTTCTTATAATCCCTTCAATTAAATGCTGAATTCTAAGAAAAATGTCTTTGTCCTCTTCTAGTCTTTTCAATTTCTTCCTCTGCCTCACTTATTTCTTCTCATGTAAATGTTTATACTACCCCACTAACTAATCTTCCCAGTTCTGTCCTCCCTCTAATCCTTATACTGGCCTGGTGTCCACAGCACTTTACTTTCTAAAGCATGCTTCCATTTGTCTGTTTCACTAAAAATCTTCACTGGCTCATTTCTTCTTATTGAGTAAAGTACCATCTCCCTAACTAGCATTCCCCTTAACTTGATGGTCTTATTCTCTATAAATGTGTGTAATTAATATGGTCAGCCACCAAACATCCAGTAAATGGGTTGAATCCTAACTCATGTCCATGTTCATGCTGTTTCTCTGAATTGGTAGCATCTACTGTCCATACCTTTGAAAGCCTGCCCTTCAAAGTTCATTGCAGGGCCGTCCCTGGTGGCACAAAAAGTTAAAACGCAACACTATGAAGCTATCTGCATCCACTGTAGCATGAGTTTGATCCCCACCCAGGGAGTTTACCCACATGGTGAAGCAGACCACTCCTGACCTGCCCTCTGCTCCCCTCAGAAGTGCGTTTCAGTAGATCTGGATCACCTGTTCTGCTCCCCACTCTGTCTCTGGTGAATCCTCTCACCACCACCCACCCCCTACACCTCTGGCCTATATCCCAGTTCTTGTGTGTATAAATTTAAAAATCTTAAAAAAAAATTCATTACAAATGGTACCCATTCAATCCAACCTTTCCTGCTTCTTCTAATCTTATTTTTTAAAAGTAATATAATAGTTTATTTTTACATCATTTTGTGCATTTTTTCCAACTCAGTTGGAATCCCCATGGGCTTCCCATCACCAAATCACCCATGTGCCATCACCATAGTCCAGTGCATTTCCCTCCCCCAACTGTTTTTGATCCCATTCCCCACTCCACCCCCATAAAATGTCTCTGGTATATAGCTGTTCATTATTATTAATATTTTCTCGCCTGGTCCATTATACTCCTGCTATGAGTGAAACCATTTGGTATTTTTCCTTTTCTTTCTGGCTTACTTCACTAAACATGATCTTTTCCAGCTTCATCCATGTTGCTGCAAAAGACATATTTATTTTTTTAGTTGCTGAGTAATATTCCATTGTGTATATATACCACATCTTTTTAATCCAGTCCTCTACTTTTGGGCATTTGGGCTGTTTCCATGTTTTTCCAATTGTAAATAATGCAGCAATAAACATGGGGATGCAGGTATCTTTTTCAATGAGTGTTTTTGTGTCTTTTGGGTAGATACCTAGGAGTGGGGTTCTTCTAATCTTTTTATTATCACCTCTCATTTTTTCTCTGGTAAACATCCACTGTTTGAATCTTCCGTTTCACCTTTATAACATCTATATTGTGCTCAAATATTTCTGTCTCCCCTAATATATTTTAAATTGAGGGGGTCATAATTTAATTTACCATCATAAAATATAATTATTAAAAGCATAATTTTCTTCAATCAAACAGTATCTGTTTTCCTACTTAGCAGCTTTGTACTAGTGAAATAGTTGCTGCCTCTGTGAGCCTTGATGTCATCTGTAAAATGGGAATATTAAGAGAACCTGCATCATCTCTGTCAGGCCACAGGGCAAGACACATAGCAATCACAAAAGAATGCTTACTTTAATCAGTATCATAGTCTTAATTATACAAAATGGATGTGCAATAAGTTTGCTAGAATGAATTGAAAGGGGACTTCTAGCTAAAGAGAAGGGTAGAAAAGAAAATTATTAGTGCCCATGCTAAAGGAGAGACCCCTTTAGATATAAATACTAGTCACCTGTAGACTCCAGGCCTGGTACTGGGTAGGGACTTACTGATAGTTTATTGCTCTCATCTGGTTCACCAATGAAAAGTTGTATTTGGGTTGTGATCCTGAGAACAGAGAAGATAGCTCTCACAGTGAAGGAAGCACATTGTCAACTAACTTCTGTGTGGCTGCTGTGATTCACAATCTGATAGCAAGATTGATCTGATTTTATGTTTGCATTTCAAGCCTACCTGTCTTCTGATGATTTTATTGGAGAGTTTGCTAATGTGGGTTTGAGTAGATTCATGGAAGCATGTGCTGAAGTTAGACTTCATTTCTGAAAACATACTTCTAACCTCTCCTAAGTAGATTTACATAATTCTAGGTCAAGCTTAGTCAGATCTTTGGAACGAAAGGAAAAAACAATGCTATGGTAATAGTGGGTTCACTCAGCTTTTCCTTGATACTTTTAAGAAAAAAAGTTATACTGAAAACAAAAAATAATGGGATTCCCAGACAGAAATTTGTGTTTAAATATTATTAAGGCTGTAGTTCAAATCAACAAAAGCCAGGAAATCCAAAGTTAACCTTTATCCAGACTGTTATGCCATTTTTTCCAGCTCTGTGTATGCCTGTGTGCCCTCCCTTTGATTTCCTGGCCTGGAAACCAAAATCCACAAGTCGCTTTATATTACAACACTCTGAGCCTGCTATTTAGTGGGACTATACCCTCAAGATAAGTGTTTAGTTGCAAGTGTTTTTAAGTATTCTCAATGTAAATTTGGAGCCATGAACCTGGTGGTTATTTTTCTCCCTTTCAAGCTCCTGAGGTCCCAATTTATGCCTGTCAGTCCTACCTGTTGTCCAGGTTGACTTGTATAACATTTGTGTTGCTAACAGTAATACAGTTTAATATTAAAGTTTATCATATGTCACTTGTAATTCAAATGCATTTTTAAATGTTTTTTTTTTGTTTTTGTTTTTTTTTTAAACCAGACATGGCGATGACTTGATTGTAACACCTTTTGCCCAGGTATGTATCATGCTGGCCCTGGCTTGCTATCACTCTGTTCCTGGGTGGAGTGTAGCCTCTGTTTATGCCCATTTGTCTTCTTTTGTTCCTAATCATTTGAAATCTTTTCCTTATAGGTCCTCGCCAGTTTGCGAAGTGTGAGAAACAACTTCACTGTACTAACAAATCTTCATGGGACATCCAACAAGTAAGCATGGACAAGTCAAAAATATTGAATTGTGTTTAATATAGACAGACAGATAAGCAGATGAATAGGTATTGCATGGAAGTTTGGCCTCCAACAGAATGAAATTTGAAAGTAGATGGAATACCATAGTGTTTTAGAATAGGGAAGATGTTAGAAATTACTATGGACCTTGTTAATCTTTATATTCTTAATGTTTAGTTCACTAGGCATCCATCAAATGAAAGAATGGCATGAAGATATTTTGTTTACATTCATATTTACTACTTGAAAAGTTGGATACTTATTAGTAATGGCCATAAATTCTATTAAAATTGTTTTGGAACTATTAATGAATTCATATTGAGAGTGTCTACAAGTCTAAGCCCAAGTTGCTTATTTTTTGATCATATGTAAATAAGTTCATTTGAATCAATATAAGTAAGATAATTTCTTCTCTGTCCCACGCTAAATATAGATCCTTAGTTATTTCAGTTAACATTGCTTTTAATGTTAGTCTCCTCACCTGTAAAACAAAGGGGTTGAAGTTGAACTTTCTCCTCCAAATTATCTCACTTCGAGTCTGATCTATATCTTATGTGATCCTTCTCCAGAGTATTGTAAAGATCATTACAGGACTCAGAATGATGCGGGCCCAGCGATCCTGGAGTGGAGGGACTAGAGGAAACCTCTTAGATCATTGAGTGAATTTATTTGTCTTAGAAAGACAAAGAGAAAGAGAAGTCTGGGCCTTCAAAAATTCAGCAACTTTCTAACACCCACACCATAGCTTAGAGACACACAAGCATCAAATTCTAACTCTTTTGATATTCCAGTCAACATTCACAGAAGAATACCATCTGGATTCTTCTGAATCTGGATGAACAAACAAATTAACATTGGATAGATAAATAAGGGGAAAAGACTAAATTTAATAATATGCATATGTAAATTCTAAACTTCTGAAAGGGGCAAAATGGGAGTTTATATCCTGTGCTGAGAGACCTGGGGCATGTAGGAAAGAGGAGAGGATAACTAAACCTTGTCTCTAGATGTTTGCCCTGCCTTTAAATGTCCTTTTTTCAATAGGAGGGTTGTTTATAGAGCCATCTGTAAATCTAGGTCATCTGATTTTTTAAGTGATGATAACAGTTTCTCCAAAGGCCCATAGGTCCCTGTTAACCTTATACTGGACATTTGGGTAAAGCTCATCTGCAGCCTTTTTGGGGAGACACATTCCACATCATCAGTCTCTTAATTTGCTTGTTTCCAAAAGCTGATTTGTTAAAAGTGAGACTAAATCTTGATTTGGGAGCTTACTTTTCTTTTCTCTGTTCTATAACTTGTTAAAGCCACAGAACTTTGCATACCCATGTAGTCTTTCCACCTGTGGTTGCTTCCTTCTAAACTATTCTCCAAACTGCCACCAGAGTGAGCTTTTTGACATGCTGTTTGATCAAGTCACTCTCCTCCAGCCTGAGACATTTCAGTGGTTCCCTATAATCATTAATAGAAAGCTTAAATGTAAGTGCTTGGCACCAAAGTCACCTCATTCTCATACTCCAGTTAATCTGACTGATGGTTATGGGGTTAATATTTGATACAAGGTACATATATAAGATAGAGATTTGCCCAGACCCTTTTGCAGTGGTACTCCCTCTTTATTCACTTATTAAATAATTCACCCAACAAGAGTTCAGGCTTTGATAGTACATACTATTCATATATATATATATATGAATATATATCCAATGACTATATACCAATGACTGTTATAAAGGAGGCACTCAATAAGTGTTTGTTAAGTACATATATATGTGTGTATGTGTATATGTATATATTTATATTCTCTATATATATGGAGAATACATATGAGTTGTATTTGTGTGTGTGTTTAACAAACATTTGTTGAGTACCTCCTTTGTCCCAGTCATAGGTGAGATAACAATAAACAAAACAGAGTTCTCCATTCTTAATAGGAAGTGCCAGGCATATAGTGGTGAAGGTTCAGATTAGGTCTTTGGGCAGCCACATGGGATCACAATCTAGCAGAAGAGTGATCTGTTTATCCCCTGCATGTTCTATTTACCATCCTGATGCTGGACTTAATGTTCTCTTTTCCTAAAATGGCTTCACTTTCCATTGAATGCTTGATGAAATACCACTTGTCTTTTTTAACACATCTCTAGTATCACTTTAATCAGGATACTTTCCCTTCCCCCAATAAGTGTGACTGAGCACCCCTTAGTGCCATGAGGGCACTCTATAGACCTTTTCACACTGTTCATGGATTTCTGCCCTTATTTAGATCATGTGCCCTTTGGGGTTTCTTGAGAATTATGTTTACTTTTTCTTGAATTTCCAAGAATTAGTAGGATCCCTAAAACATATTATATATACATAAATCTTCATTAAACATATGAATTTCTGAATAAATAAGTGTTGGGAAAATCGACATTTAGAAATTTATTTTTTCAGGCGTGATATCTTCTCTTTCCCCACCTTTTTTTTTTTTTCTTACAGGATATGAACTCTGTGGCCACACTTATTGATTTCAGAACCCAATTCTGTCACTTGAAATTATGTTACTAATCTCACTTTTCTTGATTTTCCAAACTGAGAAATAGGGCTTTTTCTGAGGATTTGATGAGTTTTTATTGTAAAGTATTCATAACAAACTCTACCACATTATTAGGTGCTCAATAAATGTGAGTTAAGTGAATTGTTCAAGAACATACCTTTTCTGGTGAATTGTCATGCTTGAAGCCTGGTCTCCTGACTCTCCTTACAGGGCTCTTTCCATTTATGACATCTGAGAAGTCCTCTGAGTTATAGGGGGAAAATATCTGAATGCTTTGAAACAGAAAATTTAGAAAAAATATTATGCAATATACTTTAAGAGACCCAAACACAGAGACATGATCTAGGAAAGTATTTTTAGGTACTAAAATATGAAAAATGAAGCTCTGCATCAAGATGATGGAGATGAAAATTGTGGAGGAAGGGATTAATAAAGCTAACTTTCAAGGCTTCTTTAGCATAACTAGGCCAAGGCTACCATATTGTATAGTTCCATGGAGAAGGAAGAAGAAAAGGGAATAGGGAGGATGTCTTTAGTTACTGATTTGTTAGCACTGCTTGGAGGTTCTTACTCTATTAGTTGCATTAGGGGGCATTCAATGTTGTGTTGCTGATTAATAGACTGAAGCTATTTTCTTGAGAAATTGGTTTTCCAAAGCCTTGAGGATTTTGAGCCACATAAACTTTCAGGAACTGAGTACCCTAAGGCCATAATTGCCATATACAAAGCTGACCCAGAGCCCATTCTTACACTCATACTGAGAACCACCTACCCAAATCATGACCCTTTATAATACCTTTGGTTCAAATCAGATCACACTCACCAAAAGAAATGGATGTCCAGCAGTATGTTCCATCTACTGATCTTCCTTAAATCTGTGCCCAGATGATTCAGAGTTGGTCACCCCAAAGTACTGATTTCAAATCCTTCCTTGAAATCAACACCAGCCAACAGAAGTTCAAGGCAGGGCACATCTACCACTAGAGTTTCATAGAGGGAATTGAGGTTGCATAGGCTAGTGCAGGCTCTGAACTGAAAGATGTGTTTTAGCCACAAATGGGACAGTCAGGCAGGGACAGGTTGGAAAACTGAGTGTCTGTTTAAAACACTCCTTTCTATTCTGAGAGTGTCAATACCCTCAAACTAGTAAAGGAAAAAGAAGACAAGAATATCTTCCAGGAATGAATCCACCAATGCTGAGAGCATTCCCTCTGCCCTGCCATATTTTCTTAACAACTGCAACTATAAGATTTATGAACTCAGAAGTTACTTTCTGGGATATTTGATGTGGGTTCCAGAGTGCACTCCCTACCTTGAATGCTTACACTCCCTACATTTCAGCAATAATTATGTCCTTGGAATGGTTTTCAAAAAACATCTGGATAGTGTAGTTTATTATGTGAAAAGAACTCCCACATAGAACTATACTTCTCACAAGCTGAGATTTCCTTTATCTTTTCGCTTTTTTGCCACATAAAGCAGTTCATTGTCTGCCTGAGCTTTACCACCCAAAGGGTAAAAATCTCTAAGTTCCTGTTGTGGTGATTTCCTTGCACTTCCATGAAATATTCAATTAAGGGATGCTTGATTGGGCCTGTATTTCTTGGCTTCAAATTAAAACCTATATGTCCTTTGTCTCAAGAGTTAACTTTTGAAAATATGTCTTTCATTTAGTGTTGCTAATTCAGATAAGCATCCCTAAAGCTTCCACTGATTTCAAACAGACTGATGGAGAAATCACACATTCTGAGTAAGAGGACCCACAATTCTGTAACCTGATAACCAGATGATAGAGCTGTGTGCAAATAGGTATCCTTATCATTCACATGTATCTTTAGCCATGACTATCAGGAAATCATTTAACATCACTGCATTAGCATCCTTCTAAGAATAATGTTATCAACATGTGTGTAACCTTTGGAAAATGATTAATGACCATTTCAACTTTTCAAGTGTATATCTAAAGTGTCTTTATATCTGAAATGCTTTAGGTATATTGGCATAGGATTTAAATGAGAGCAGAGAAGCAAAGTCTTAAGCATTCAGAGCTGGAAAAAAAACTAGGCAAAAATCCTCAGATTAAGTGAGGAAATGTATGTAAAACTGTACACCTAGGATCTGGCATGTAGAAAGTTAGCAGTAAATGTTAGTTGCTGCCAGCTCTCCCCAACTGAAGAAGAGACTGAGAAGTTCATTTACCCAGGGCTAGGCAATGCATTATGGTGCCAGAGCCAAGACTGGAATCCTGTGTGCTTGTTCACAGTCCAGTTCTCTCTCCACTGTGCTACTCAGTCCTGGAAATTATGAACTACTGTGGTCATTTAATCCACCCTATTAATATCACCATCTTCAGCAACTCAGGCATATAACTTTTTATAGTTCTTCCATAAATCGGGGACCAATGGGAGCCGGGCAACCAAGGCCATTTTCTTCCAGCATTCAT